TTTCTGTTACTATACTCTTCATCCAGAAGATAATCAATGGAAAAGCAGAAAGAAACGATGCTACACAAAATTATTTTTAAACAAAGATGTTTGTCTAATCTTTGCTTTTTTTCTTGTGAATTAATTGATAACTTGACCTCTTCTGGCCTCTAAATATTATTCTAATAAAACCGGGGGTGGGGGATCACCTTGGACCTGATAGATGATAGATATGCAATATGCAGTGGGTCACAAGTAGGCATTGCTTTACTTTAATAGTTCACGAGCCAACACTGTTTTGAAGCCACACCAACAGAAAAGAGAACATTATAAAAAATGTTGCTAGTAACTGCAGGGGGTTTACAGTGACCTTACTTTGCTCATCTGGAACACATTTAACACACAAACATACAGTATGAAATGTGGGGCTAACAGCTGACAGACGGAGTACCTGCCTAAATGAAATATGACTTTGCAGTGTGCGCGCCTGAAAAGAAACCCCTACTGGAATTCTTTGAATCTGTATTCTTTCCATGTGTGATTTTCCATGGATGTTGAGTTTCATCTGCCAGTGGAGAAGCAGACTGGAACAAAGGGTTAAGGGTCTCGGGCTACGGGGGTGCGGGATATTTAACTTTAGCTGTTCTGTTTTGTTTTATGACTTGGAGGAAGCAGAACGGGTCTGCTGAGGTGGGTTTTTTTTTTTTTTTAGCTTTCTCTGGTCAGCTTTGAAGGTGAGGGCCCCTCTCTCCCCAGGGTCATAACTCAACAAGTGAATGTCTGGTGGTGGGGAGCCGGGGGCCTCAGCACACAAAAAGGTTTCAGTTAAACCTGTGTGATTCAGGTTTAACATGTTAACATTTAACTTTGCTTTAAACAGTCTTCTTTATACTGGTATAAATAAACTCCTGAACCACAAAGACACATTTCAAAACTCAGGAGGCAGGTTTTAATACTGTGGCCTTTTTTCCAGGAATACAGACATGTTGTCGTGTTAGTGAACTGTAAGTGCTGTTATGCATGAAAGCTTATTCGGAGGCCTTGCAGCGTTGTTACAAGTATTGACTGAATTAGCTGCGGTTAAGAGGGTTTTATTGCCAAGTTGCCGCATCAAGAAAACATTGTAATCCATATGCAATCCATGCTGATTAACATTCAGTTTAATGTTAAACTCATTTTACTTATGTAACCGTTTCCAGATATTGAGAGCTACTGGACTGTCAGAGATTTTTAAGCCTAGTTTTTGTAGGTCATGGACATGCAGTTACACAGCAGGAGTTTCAGAGAAATGTACCAATAAAGTTCAGTCTGGAGTGAGAACTGGTTGGATGTAGTGCAGAAAAAAAAATCACTCAAACGGTGAACTATAATAGTACAGCAACAAAGTGGAAAATGATCTGTTACATGAGACAGGCAGCACCCATCCCTGACTCCCGTGATGGTCTTTATTGTTGCTCAGAAGACCAGTGAAATGGAAACCAGGAAATTAGCTGTTTGCTTTCACATTGTGACTGATATGCAGTATTGTTGTTTTTATACATGATATTGGTTTAAAATTACACTAAATAGAGATATTCAATACAACAATCCTGAAACTAGAGTTACGTTCTGGTATTTTAGATATGTTATTAAATATTTATTTGTGTGTTAATTCCATATATGTAAAAACAGTCGATTACTCACAATTAACTCGTACAGTGTTTTCAGTGCAATGAATTTTTTCAGTTCATGCAGAAGTCTTGGCTACAGCCAGCCTTCGTCTGTATCCTTTCAGATGGATGACACCTTGTGGTCATACTCTGAGACTACATGATTTTTTTTCGCACAGTTCCAGGTGCTGCATCACCTCCCAAAATGTGAGAGTGAAACACATTGCACAGAATAACCACTCCACTGCTCTCTAAGCACAGCAAAACTGCTACCTTAAAGCAATTCAAAATATATTTATTTAAGCTTTACGGGCTTGGGAGAGTCATTGTTGCATACATCTGTCCACACAGGAATCCTACGCGTGGCACAAATATTTAATGTGTGTGCACTGTGCAGTGAATGGCCTTTTGTTAATTGCAATCACTGGCCAAGTTGAAATGAATTTGTTCCTTAATATATAAAGGAATTCACACAAAGAAAAAATTGTTTTATAAACATATAATACAAGTGCTACAGTTTTTCTGATAAGACATTAGTGCTTCAAAGGCACGTTTCTGTCCCAAAATGGCAGCCAGAAGAAACAGTTTTGAATATGTAGATTTTAAAGCCCCTGCACAGCCATAGTTCAGCCACACAGGTATTTTAATTAGGCCTCTCCTCAGGACAGTGTGGGTTCAGGTGTACTTGATTGACATCTTCCTCACCCGTCTCTTGGTTTTGTGGCACCTGTCAGGATGGGACAACTTACAACAGCAAGCATTAAGTTTCGGTCAGAGCTGATTTAGATTTTTTTGACATTCTGACATTAGCTTCTGTCGCTGCTCTTCTGCTGCTTTTAGTATTATTTTGCCATGTATATACAAACAGTATATCTTGCATGAGATGTCATTCCCCTCCCCCTCTCAAACTGGCCCGACACTGGAGAACCTTGTCATTTCCCGTTTTAAGGTTGAGTTCTGTGCAGAACGAAAGACATGGGTCAAGTCACGCCCTGACCTGTTTCACCCTGCTGGTCATAAAAATTACAGACTAAAAACCCCCAATCTGACCGTGCCTTTATCATTCTTATTAGTGCATAGTTTAGTGACTCCCACTATAGCTTCACCCAGGTTACACCTGACTAGACATTTAATCTTCCATATTAAATGTCTAGTCCTGAGTGAGTGTGCAGGGTGTTTAAGAATGCAGAGATCATAATGTGATGTTGTCAAACCTCAAGAAAAGACACACACAGCGAGGTGCAAACCACTCTGAGTTTCAGTACAAATCCATCAACACTAACACTCTCCAATTCTGTGCTTTATTCCCCTACATACAATGCACATGCTTGTCTATTCCAACGAAGGGTGCTCTGAACTATATTATACTGAAGATAAGACAGTCAAACATCTAATGAAGGTGTGCAGTATTTTAAAAAAATTTGTAGATTCAGCACTATTTGCAGCTGTTAACATCATTTGTATTTCCCACTTAGATTTTTGATTATTTACTTCCAGGCAATACAATTGTTTTATTTGAAAAACAAATAGGATGAACAGACTGTCTTGTAGGGAAAGATCGACAAGACGAAGTCCTCTGGTGATGTTGATAACTTTTACCACAAGGTGGAGACAGAGACTGCTACCTGAAACTGTCACACCATCTGAGACACGGGACGGTTCATGTTCAGTGAATTGAGTGAGAAACGTGTTAAGCATCACAGAGCAGAAGAGCAGATATTCCACTGACTTAAGATCAGGTGGTGCATCCACATGTGCACACTGTGAAACCTCTGGCGTATTCGACCTTGGCAACTGATCTAGTCTTAATCTGCTTTTTGTATCAGCTCATTGCAGATATAGACTTAATATGAATCTGACAGACAAAATAAGATGGTGGATTTATTTATTTTATTAAATGCAATGAACAGACTACAAAACATTATCTGTACTACAGCAAACCCAGACCGGAAAAAAATACTCATTAGAACGGCACAGTCACAGTTAACCGTGTAGAAGCCCCCGTGTAGAAATGCCACTTGTAAATCATAAAGATTTCACGTCCGCACAATGAAACACACAACCTAAAATGTATGTTATGCACAAGAAAAAGCCACTATCAGAGAAATTATGATAAACACAACCCACCACATTAACAGAATCTCCTTACAGGCTGAATGGGGGGCTGAAGGGGTCCTATTGTGAGAGGGAAGAGAAAAATCCCCCCACTCTACAACCACACTAATCCCTCAAATCTGCAGCTGATACGTTTTCAAATATTTTGCAATATTTTACATGCAATATGTTCTACTTGTTTAACTTTATATTCACGGGGTGTGTTTTTATTGTTTTCCATACATTCACTATTCTTGAAATCACTTTTCCCTCCGTCAGGAGTGGGTGGCCACGTCATGCAGGATCAGACAAACCAGCTTCATTTAACAGATGTCACAGCATTGATTACGGGCCTCGGAGATGCATGGTGCATGACCTGTGTAATTCCAACACTGGCAGTGAGAAGCATTGTTGAAAATCTAACAAAATCTCTGAGAAATTGCAAATGAGTTTGAGACTGATAGGTATACAGATTTGCATGGCATGGATACAAATAAATGACTATTGAAATAGAAAGTGGCATATCTTGAGTAACTGTGAAATATGTAAAATGTCTCAATAACATCTACGTATATAATTTTAACACCAACAACTAAAGTGATACATCTGCAGAGAGAGAAAAGAGAGGGTGGTTGTTTGAAAATGATCTAGCTCTGTAGAGATGACCTGCAGGATTTGAAAGTAGGCTACAGCTCTTTGGGCAGCATGTCGTAATGTCTAATTACACATTTTAACTGAACATACTGTACAAACTCACAGAATGTATTTTTGCATTGATAAGAAAGTAGCAAATTCACAATATGCTGTATGGAGATGGTTAGGATGACTTCAGCTAACGATAAACTTAATTGTTTGTTAATCTGCGGATTAAGTCAGAAAATTGTGAAAAATGCCCGTTAAAATATCCCATAGGCTAAGGTGAACAATTTTGTTAGTAGTTTCGTTTTATTCAACCTGCATTCCAAAACCCACAGATACTTGGTTTGCTATCGCATAAGACAAAGAAAAGCATCACATCCTCACATTTGAGAAGCTGACACCAAATACTATTTGGCATTTTTGCTTGAAAAAAGACTAAAATGATGAATCTATTATCAAAATTTATGATCGTTGCAGCTCCAGTCATGGTTATGAAATCAGTACAACAAATTAAAAGGCAATGGCAACATAATTTCTCCTTTTATATTAACCCCATTATTGTATTACAAATCAATATGTAAGAAGGTGAAGCAGGGTTATGAAGTCAAAAATGGCCTTAAGAAATACAACACAATGACATCTTTTTAGCAGCCTTCAAAATGCTTTTTAGTTGAACATCTTTTATAATTGAACACATTTTTAATGGGTAGTTTTTCCAACAGTATGATTAAAATTATATTTACAATCCAGGGTCACAGTTGTCCACTTAGTCCAGTGAACTATACATTCATATATACTCCAGTGTAGTCCAGCATGTCTGACTTTATTAACAGAACTGTACAACAGTCATAGTATTTCCTTCCTGCTATTTTTAGACATTCATTTTAACCCCTTAATGCCGATTGTCGCAAATTCGCATCACACCTCTCCCTTTCAGACTGCAGCTGAGATAGCACATGTATTTCCCCAATACCTGTCTGCGCATATTCAATACATACCTGGGAACCTTTTGCAAGCACTGGTTTCTCGTTTATGCCTGTTGTCGCTAATTTGCAACATACATAATGTTTTTCTTTTTTTTTTAATTGTAAATAAATTCAGGCATCAAGGGGTTAAACTCCTTCCAGAGGGAGAGGGGAATAGGGAGAGACGATTTAATCAGATGGAGGTGTAGTTTCTCCCAAAGCTGGTGAGTCTAATCTTCTCCGGCAGGATGATATTTACTGAGTGCTCCGGCTCTTCCTGGCTCGTGGCGCCGGCTTCTCTCAGCAGGTGTTCCCTTTGCTGCCGAACAAGCTGGCTGTACTTGGCATTAGCCAGCCATGTCTCACAGCGGCCAAAAAACACAATGCCTGTTGTGCCCAGGATGACCAGGCAGGTGATCAGGGCCAGCATGCCGAAGCAGACGAGCTGACCATGGGTGACAAGGACACCGGACGAGTGGACTGTCTCCTTTAGGGTGATCTTAAGCAGATCTCTCTCAGGCGGTCTGAGAAGCTTGTGGAAGGTGTGAGCAGGGAGGGAGTAGTGCTGCGGAGTCAGCGCGAACACTCTGTGGTCCACAGGCCTTGCGCCAACCGGCCTGGACCTGGCCTTCGGCTTGTGCTGCAGGGAACATGTGGGACCTGTAAACCATTTCTGGCAAACGCACCGGAAGGTTCCATCAGGTTGACCAACACACGTGCCACTATTGGCGCAGGGCCTGCCAGCGCAGGGAGAGAGGCTAGTGCTGTCATTACAAGTGAAACCAGTGAATCCGTGCGGACAGACACATGTGAAGGCCAGGCCATGATTTGTACAGTTGCCACCGTTGAGGCACGGGTTAGGCTGGCAGCTGTCAATGCTTATCTCACAGAAATCTCCAGAAAATCCAGGGGGACATATACAAGAAGAGTGTGCTGCTGAGCCATCAGTATCCATACAGGTGCCTCCGTTCTGACAAGGAGAGCTGGAGGACAGAGCAACACAATGTGAATAGACAGCAGGGGAAATAAGGCGTGTTATCTAGCGTGCAGCTTTACTACAGCATATTTTATCCTGTGGTTATAAAGCAGCCATCAGTGAAGCAGACACCAAGTGGACCCAGTCCTATTTTACAGGTAGATTTCATGAAGTGGATGTTGATGGGATGCTTTCTAGTCCTAAATTCATAATGTGCAGAGTCCCTCAGGGGAGTGTCCTAGGGCCATTTAAAATTGTATATTAATGAGATAAAATCTGCCCGCTTATGGGACCTTTTTTTCATCTAGATGGTACTGGATTGATTAATTCATATTAAGATTCACAAATAGAATCTTAGTCATGTTAGTAAGTTTTAAGTATCTTAACCTACATATTTAACTTAACCTATGTACATAAAAGTCAATGTAGTCTTGGTTTCACCAGTGACCATCAGCTGTCTCCGGTTTCCTCCCTACGCAGACTTTGTCGCTCTTTATACTGCCTCACCTGACTTCCTCCTTTGCTCTCGTCATAATTACTAATATTAATATAGGTCACCACCTAACAATAAACGTAAATTTTGTTATAAGCTGTTTTTGCACAGATGGACATATTTTTTGGGGAGGATGGTCTGAATTTGTCAAGACTATATTTTTCTCCAAGAAAGCAGTCAAAAGCAATTTGTTTTGTTGGGGGCACAAGTTCAATGCCACTTTAACTATGGTGCCACCCTCCGGTACAACAGTTCTCCCTGACTCATCAAACAGTTCTCCCTGACTCATCAAAGGTTTCAGACTGCTTTAAATGAGTGTTGTACCCAAATTATCTCCATGCACACATGTGCATTGTAAAGAAACCACTTCCTTATTACTTTACTGACTTTTTAAAATTAATTTTGCCATGAGAGGAAGCTCTTCCAAGGCCTGTATATCCGTAAAGCAATAGCAGACAGATGTGTCAGAGGGTAAAGGGTTGTCAAACGATCTTTGTAAAATCTGTTTGATATGTTTTTAACATTGTTGAAGATTATTATCTTATTATCTTATTTTCTTTCTCCAATGTAGGCTACAGTGAAAATAAGCATTTAACTGTAGTGTGTTTTTTATCCTCAACAATTTTAATTGCATGTCAGGAGTAGGTGTTTGCAGTCTTTAATATTAGTGTACATAGACCACATATTGTGGTTATGTGATCATGTCACAAAATTCTGTTTTTTAGTGATTTCAAAGCTAATTGTAATTAAAACATAAAATAATTAGTTATTGATATTGTTTTTTTACATGTGTCCAAAATGTTTAATGATATAGTCCCTAACAGAGGATCACAGTTCTTTACACTGAACATGAATTTAATTATTTTTTCATGGGATTTTTCATACATTTGCCATATTGTGATATATATCAATATCAGAGTAACATGGGACTGCAACTTATTTTCATTATCAAATATGCAGGCGATTAATTTATCGGTTAATTAATCACCCTTTTGGTCTATAAAATGTCAAATCTTTAAAAATGCCCATTAAGACCCAGGGTGACGTCATCACATTGCTCATTTTGTCCGAACAACATAGCCCAAAACCCAAAAATACTCAGTTTACTATATCATAAGACAGAGAAAAGCAGCATATCCTAACAATTAGGCTGTAAAACTACCAAATATTTGTCATTGTTGCTTTAAGCATTACTTAATTTTCTAAATAAACTGACTCAACTAATTAATTGACTTTCAAGTAATATCCTTATTAATCTTGTGATACTGATTTCAGTCATTTTGCCCTGAAAAAAAGCAATTCATTTTCTGCAAATGAAAAATCTGTACCAGTAACAAGATGTAAAAGGAGTCTTAGCTTTGCCTCTGCAATAATGTCCCTGCGCCCACATGTTCAGCATATCTGATCAATGCAGCCATGCTTCACAAATTAAGTGCACTGATGTAAGTCCGGAATAAAATATAAAAAATCAACATCTCTAATAGTAGCTGGTGTAATTACACAAGTCCCTAACATTCTGTCTCTGCGAGTCAGAAGAATAATAGCTCTGGCATACTTTTTAGACATCTCTGGTGTCTCTTAGAGGAGCTGATTAATGAAACTTCATGCAGGCTTTTTTAATGGAGATGACTTACTAGCACAGCTCCACTCATCTCATTGTCAAAATTATAATAAGACTCAAATTATTATATTTTTGAGAGGAGGAGAGCTGTCATTTCACTGACACTGGGCTTAGTATGGCTATTGAATTCTAGGTGTGTTCATGTCAATAACAAGGCTGCCTGCCAGAGAATAAACATGTTGGGGGTCAGTCTGGGGGTTGTGTCAGCTAGCTGTGTCCCCAGAGAGGCTCAAATGTATCTGATGGGCAGTAAGAGGATTCCTTCACAGATCAGCCCTGTCTGTAATTCGGCAGTGGAAAAGCAGACGATGAAGCAGTTTCTAGAGCTTAAAGGAATGATCCACTGTTTTTGTTGTGGACAGTCTTGGAAGAAAAGCAAAAAATTAAAGATGTGGCTTTTGCTTAGAGTTATTACTTGCATCAGCGGTCTGTACAAGTGCTGTATTCAGAGATTCTGTCACACTTCAACTACGCGCCAATCCTGGCAAGATACTTTGAAGGACGCCACCCATGAAGGTGGGTCCTGCAGAGGACCTGAAGGCCTTGCTGAACCTGCTCCTTTCCCCCTCAAATGAGGACAAAACTAATGACGCGTTCAAGTGTTTCTCATCACCTCGCATAGTCAAACATTTCCAGAAATTTGCTCTCTAATGGCTTAAATAGTGTTAAATGTCAACCGTAAATGTGGCTCACTTGGTAATCTTGCAGTTTCATGATTAAATATTTTACGGTATGAGCTTCAGTGTTTCAATTTAACACAGAATGAAGAGGTGCTTCACGATGTACCTGGTTAAGGGTAAAAATGGTAAAAACTATATAGCTGATGTATATCCGTATTGCTCTGCTGTAAAATACCCAGGCTCTTAACACAAATAAACAATGTAGTTTATACCTTGCTACTGTTGTTTGGATTCCTCAGTGCTTTCTTACAGTAATTGCTTCAGTTCATGTGGCATATTATCAGAGACTGCTGACTACCTGAAGGCAAATTCCTGGCAAATAGATTGTGTGTACACTCACCTAAAGGATTATTAGGAACACCATACTAATACTGTGTTTGACCCCCTTTCGCCTTCAGAACTGCCTTAATTCTACGTGGCATTGATTCAACAAGGTGCTGAAAGCATTCTTTAGAAATGTTGGCCCATATTGATAGGATAGCATCTTGCAGTTGATGGAGATTTGCGGGATGCACATCCAGGGCACGAAGCTCCCGTTCCACCACATCCCAAAGATGCTCTATTGGGTTGAGATCTGGTGACTGTGGGGGCCATTTTAGTACAGTGAACTCATTGTCATGTTCAAGAAACCAATTTGAAATGATTGGAGCTTTGTGACATGGTGCGTTATCCTGCTGGAAGTAGCCATCAGAGGATGGGTACATGGTGGCCATAAAGGGATGGACATGGTCAGAAACAATGCTCAGGTAGGCCGTGGCATTTAAACGATGCCCAATTGGCACGAAGGGGCCTAAAGTGTGCCAAGAAAACATCCCCCACACCATTACACCACCACCACCGGCCTGCACAGTGGTAACAAGGCATGATGGATCCATGTTCTCACTCTGTTTACGCCAAATTCTGACTCTACCATCTGAATGTCTCAACAGAAATCAAGACTCATCAGACCAGGCAACATTTTTCCAGTCTTCAACTGTCCAATTTTGGTGAGCTCTTGCAAATCGTAGCCTCTTTTTCCTATTTGTAGTAGAGATGAGTGGTACCCGATGGGGTCTTCTGCTGTTGTAGCCCATCCGCCTCAAGGTTGTGCGTGTTGTGTCTTCACAAATGCTTTGCTGCATACCTCGGTTGTAACGAGTGGTTATTTCAGTCAAAGTTGCTCTTCTATCAGCTTGAATCAGTCGGCCCATTCTCCTCTGACCTCTAGCATGAACAAGGCATTTTCGCCCACAGGACTGCTGCATACTGGATGTTTTTCCCTTTTCACACCATTCTTTGTAAACCCTAGAAATGGTTGTGCATGAAAATCCTAGTAACTGAGCAGATTTTGAAATACTCAGACCGGCCCGTCTGGCACCAAAAACCATGCCACGCTCAAAATTGCTTAAAATCACCTTTCTTTCCCATTCTGACATTCAGTTTGGAGTTCAGGAGATTGTCTTGACCAGGACCACAGCCCTAAATGGATTGAAGCAACTGCCATGTGATTGGTTGATTAGATAATTGCATTAATGAGAAATTGAACAGGTGTTCCTAATAATCCTTTAGGTGAGTGTATATTGACAGGGATCAGTATGGGATTCACACAGAGCTTTTTTAATTTGGATCTCTTTTATATTGGATTTGTTTTTATGAATAAAAAAGGCCACACGCCCTGGGCTATCCTTCCAAAGCCCATGAATAAACGGAACATATGGGATACTGAGAGATGCAAAGTATAGATCAGTTGTTTCCTCTAAAGACCGGAAAAAGAAGGCTGAATTTCTGGTGCATAGAGAAGCGTTTGAAATGTGAAAGCCTTGTCAAGCAATAATGATGTATTCAATTTTAAAATGATGACTTCAAAGGATGCAGGCCCTGAATTGGGATGCAGCTTATGATGCTGCCCAGGTGTACAGTACCATAAAAGGTGTCTGCTTATCAACAAGGAAAGGGAACAATAAACATGTCTGTTGCTGTATTTCAGAGTTCATTCCCAGGAATTCCTTTTTTCTACATCAACATTCATGTGTTTGACGTGAAAGCAAAATGTATGCCCAGCAGGAAAATAGTTTTGGCTATGTAAGCACAGTAGAGCCACACTTTGCTTTAATTGTTTGCAAAGTTTTGCAAGCTGACTCAAAGAAAAGGCTAGCCTAAATATGCAGAAAGTTACAGATTTCACTTTATGTGAACATACCTACATGATACCAGAGCTACAGGCCAGTAATTTACATTATCCTTAATTTCACAAAGATCAACTTAAAATCCTGTCAGTATCCCCATTGAACGTTTTAACTGATTTTTAACATTTTTTAAACCGCTGTAATCAGTACATTTATATTTACAATAACAATGTGAAAAGGGTCACTCCTACAGAAACCTACAGAGTATTATCACCTGAAAATTCATCTCCCCTCTGTGGTATGGATCTATAGAAAGTTTCTGCTAATTTTTTAGCTTAAACTGCGTCTAATGTTTTGGTTTAGTCAAACCTCTCTCTCGTAGCATAATTTTCTGCAGCAGGAGGCAGTTGTTTTTCCGAGAAAAAACTCACTATACACTACCAACACAACAAGTCATATGTTACTTGTAACGGCTGGATATGCTAAATTGCCACATCGACTTAAAAGCTGGGTCAATGTTATTGTTATGACCCTGGGGTCATAATGGTCATTTGTTTTTATTTACCCTGCACTGTCAGCTGTTCTCCTCCTTTAGTGTGTGTGAAACCACAATTTAGTGATTCTGAAGATTGGTTGTGACAACCTTGATTGGTGTAAATAAATTGCCTTTGTTGTAAAATAGAAATTTGTAGATATTGTCCGTACAAGAAGTTAGGTTTTGCAAAGAGTCTTTTTGTTTGTTATTCTGGGCTCTGCTCAATCTCGGAATAAATAAAAACTGTTAATTTGTAATTCCCTTTGTTGTCTGGCCTTGCTTCGGAGTTGGAGGAGTGGGGGGAGCCACACTTTATGTTGCCCCTGGACCTTGGACGTGACAGTTATTTTCACAGCTTGTTTCTGCTGTGGCGAAAAAGTTATTGCAGGTTTAAGGTATTTCCACTGCCCTGAGTTGAATCGATGCTTGGACCCAATGCAGGTACACCATGTTCTTCTTTGCTTTTATGCAATGTCATATAGCACTACACACCAGGAAAGTCTGTCATCAGAGTAGTAGTAGAATTTCCGACGAGGGATAAAGAGCCGGGCTTTTCGTTCCTCAAAGTTGGTAACTTGCCAGTTCCCACATTTTAGCATGCTCAAGTTTGTGGAAAATATTAATAAAGAAACTTATTATCACACATATTTACATTTTAAGTCAGATTGCGACCTCTAGTTGCAGAAGAATTCAGGTGACATAGTATAAAGGGCGAATCTGTGTAAGGATGGCAGTTGGGTGAATGGATGAGTGAAGTAAACTGAGGTTTGAGTCCCATGTGGAAGAAAATTTGACATGTTTTAAGCTAAATAACATTTTGTAGATGACGCAGCCTTATGTTACTCAAGTCATGTGACTTACATAATATACTTATTTGAACCCAAACCATAATCTTTTCCTAAACCTAACCAAGAGGTTCTGTTGCCTAAACCTAAGCAAACTTTGACCCTTTTCACAACAGTTTCTGAATGTTAAACTTTTAACATTTTAATGTCATTTTTGCATGTCGTTTTGGGAAATGGTCACATATGTCAGTGTACATTCCAACGGACATATATGTGTTTTGGAAAATAGTCTTATATGTTTTGGGACACTTGACAATCAATCTATTTTCTAATCTAGTCTTTTAGGTATGAGGAAGTTTGGTGCACAAGGTGGTATTTTATATAACTAGCAAGGTGGCTATGTACTTCAGCGACCATACCATTTTTGGATTAGCCAGAGTCAGCCACTGCCAAGCTGGCAACGGCTGGAGGCGCCAGAAACTGCCCACATTGAGCTTCACAGTGACTCTTCAGCAACCTATGGATGACGTCTTTGACACTACGTCCATGTTTTATACAGTCAGTGGGTGCAAGTCACAACAACCAACAAACTGGCTACATTTTGTGCAGTAAAGGGAAAAGAACATCCAATATTTTCTCTGCTAACTGCTGCGTATACACAAGCCACAGTGTGAGGTGCTTTCAATTGGCTGCCTTGGCGATACAGAGAGAGTTGGCTGACACTACACCATTGATTATTACTCCTAATAATGACAAATGGAGACAAGGCTGTAATACATCTTAATATTCCTTTACTTAAAATAGAAACTTAAATAAAAGGTGTTGGTACCCATTTGTGAGGCAAAGTCCTCTCTTCAGGTGGCAGTTTTCACCCGTGTAGCCATGGGGGCAGATGCACAGGTATCCTCCCTCTCCTGTCTCAACGCAGGTGGCATTACCAGCACAAGGCCTGGATGAGCACAGGCGAGTATCTGTTGTTCAGAAAAAAAACAACAAAAAAATGCTGTTTTTAGATCCCTCTGTCTCCCTGCCTGTTTTTATTTTTTTTGCTCTTCGTTTCCACTCTCACTCACACTCTCCACCGCAGCATCTTGTCACCAAGAACAAAAGTGAGAACATAACCAGCCACATTTCACAGGCAAGCAGCTCATATGCTCAAACAGAATAAGAGATGTACTGTGTGCACTGATAAGGAGGTCAAAGTAAGCCAGAAACCAAAAAAAACCCCTTTCTTCTTTTAATCTTTTCTTTGTTTCCTCTTTTGCTTGAGGGGCAGCAAGTAATTTTTAACGCCATAATGTTCATTGTAGATACTATAGGAATAATTGAGGAATAAATAACTAAGTGCTTAATTTAAATGGGTGTGTCTGAAATGGAAATGTGACTTTTACAGCTTTAACGTTTAAATTTTTCACAGGTACACCATATCACTTTTTAGTTCTTATCATATGCCTTGCTCAATAGCACAAAAGCAGGAGTTTGTATAATGAGTATTTCTGCGGTTAGTGTGTCGCTTCAGCTTTCACCATTGACCCTGTTTTTTCCATAATGATTTTTTTTGCCTAAATCAGATCTCTTCTACTTGAACTTCGCCTGTCTAAAAATATATTCTCCAGACACCGGCTTAATTCGGTGGGAACCTGTGTGTCCCCGAGGCTCCGAGACTTCACCCTAAACTCCGGTGTGTCAGGAAGTGTTAGGAGGCAGATAGAGATAAAGCGTGTCTAGGGAGCTTAATGAGACTCACCTTGGTCACACAGGCTGCCCACCCAGCCCTCCTCGCAGATACACTGCCATGCCCTCTCACATGTGCCGTGTAAACAGCCAGGGAAGGACACACACTGGTCACAGTTCTCTCCTTGCCACCCTGGTTTGCACCTGGAAAAAGGGGAGGAAAGGGAGCAATCTTGAACTATTAATATATCACCCACAGAGCTCTGCAGTCCTGCTCTTGTCCCCATAATGTCTGCATTGCTTTTTCTCTTAAAGTAAAAGTAAAATGAACATTTTAAAGTCCTTGATTATGCAATAATTGGTAGATTCAGTAGCATTTGCCAGGAAAGCATTTCCAACTGAGCATGCTTTGTAACCAAAAGCTTTTGAGCTATCTGTTAGGATAACAATGCTTTTGACTGTTCAAACAAAGGGCTGATTTGGCAGTTGACTTAACACATTGCAAGCCCAAACAGTTCTAAAAAAACAGAAGGATCCAGTTGGCTGGATTGCTATTGCATTTCTCTAAGAACATTTACAGCTTCAACAATTTATGGAAATAAGGTTGGAAACCCCCAAAGGGTATAGGCTATCACATTAATCTGAGGTCGTTTTAGTACCTGCACTTCCCTGGCTTCTCACAAAATCCATTTTCTGTGTTGCACCCTGCGCTGCATTCCCAACCTTTTGAAACAGAAAGAAAGGGACAGCAGCGTGTTTGAATCAGAAATCAAAATAACACATTAAACATTCAGAGCAATAAAATATTCATTCGTTATACTTTCTTTCCACTCAGAGTGAATCGCTTCAGAAAAAGAGTTTCTCTGCCAGCTGTCCCAGCGGTCCGATCAAAATCTCAGATTACCTTTGGCGATGCCTGTCACGACCAGAATTAAGACCACCGCTGTGAGATGCATCGTAATTTCAAGCAAGACCCCCCTTTTGTCCTGCAAAATATGAAGCATGTTCAGTCGCAAGCTTTCTCTCCCTGTGAAGGAGCGATGTTTTTCTACCTAAAAGATATCACATTACTCAAAAGTTCATTTGACGAAAAGACAACAAACCTTAAATGCAGAATTCAGATGGATGAACAAACAACAAATATGGTACATTTTTATGGAGATATATATATATATATATATATATATATATATATATATATATAGTTAACCATTACATCGTAGGAGTTAAAGGTTATTGCAGTTAAAATCACTCTAACTGTAAATCCCAATATAAGTCAGTCTTTATCTTTTCTTAGATATAATTGACGCACCTGAACAATATGCGTCTGCTCCCAGTTGTCGGCTATCCGTTACGCACAAAGAGAAAGAGAAAAGCCATTTCATTTCAAACACATTTATCATGTCAAAAACCTCATTAACTTAAATTATCTTCTGGCATCCGGTAAATTGCCTTACCTATGTCGCACCGGCTTTCAGATTCCTAGTGGCTTCGATCATATTTGATTGATTTGACCCCACTTATTCTTTTTTCTTTCTTTTTTTTTTAAATCCAAGCGTCGTAGGTGATACTACAGGTATACCAGTGGTCCGGCTGCTGGAGGAGGACCTGGAGGTTTTGATGGGACTGCTGCATCGTGCGGCGTCCCAGTGCAACACGCTCCTCCCACCTTAAGAGGGAGAATGTGCTCACCAGTCTGACCCCCGGGAGAGACGTGCTTTAGTGTGTAGACTTATGTACCTGCATTTGATAAATGCGTTAATTAATGCCTTTTGGAGAAGTTGTAGATGTTAATCACATAATTTAGTTAAGGTAGCAATACTACAATTTAAATTCTTGCATTCAAAATCTAACTCAAGTACTTAAATATGATCAGCTAAATGTACTTAAAGTATTAAAAGCAAAAGTAGAAGTAGAATTTCCCCTAACAAATGGATTTATTACTGGTTCATAATCTGTAAGTAGCATTTTACTGTTGTAGCTGGTTGAGGTGGACCTGAGGTTTACCTTCTTATGCTAATAACAGTTCATCTTAACTTATGTGATGATTGCATGTTTTGTATGAAAATCTAAAGTTAACAGAATTGATTTACCAATTTTTTTTTTACTAAAGTGTAATTACCAATATTACCGTTCTCGCAAAAAAATACGTAAAAAACACACCATGCCATCAAAGATTCCTAATTTAAACAGCAAACCTGAGAAGGAATTCAGGCCCCCCCCCCCCTTTTGAAATGATATTGAATGACTTCCCTGACACAGAGGCTACCTGTCATACATAATAATGTTCCCCTCATCCTTCCCAAGGGCAGTGAATGGTATTTTCATTCCCACAAAGTATAATGGCTTAGTCTGAGGGCCTAATTATGAGTTTCACTTCTCTCACACATTATTAGATAGGCAATAAGGATTTTGCAAATGGTGGCTAAGCAACCGTCAGGGGATACCTACCAGTTTCTCACCAATCCTCTTTGCTGTTTATCTCTTTACATTAAATATAAGATGCAGCCTATGTCCTGTACAGGTGAAAATAATTCCAGATATTTTCCTGCTTTTCAAAAAAATATTTTTACAAACGCGTCATCTTGGGCAGACATTTCTAGATGATGCACGTTGTGTGAGTTTTCTGTCTAGACAGAGAAAGCACAAGGGATACATATGAATGCAAATAAGCATCAGATCAATTTTTTCCAATCGAATGGGGATAAAGAGAGTACATGGGATCTCCCTTTTTCCTTTTGCACATAAACAGTCATGCATTTGCCAGAGAGAGGCAGAGACAAGGACACATGTTATAAACAGACAGCCACGAGCAGATGTGAGTGGAGGAGAAATGAATAAGTCTCCTCAGATTTGATATAATCTTTTGAGATGGCTCCAGTCTCACCTCCCCCAGTTCAATTTGGCTCGTGTGTTTGTTTTCAAACCTCCAGAGACGGAGCTCATAGCCCGGGCGTAACATTACAGCTACCAACCGGATCCACATCAGTCAGTCCTTTTTAATGAAATGTCTGAGGTTTGTATGTGCTTTATTAAAGTGAAGGAGTCCTCCATTGATTTATTTTTTTTCCCAAACACTGATCTCATCTGGTATCTGATCTTTTATGTGCTCCATTCCAGGGTGCTCCAGGTATAAATTGGACATTATGGATCTGAGGATATCTGCACATGACTCTGTGTGTGTGTGTGTATTGTTTGTGTTATGACAGTCTTACACTTTGAGGTTAAATCAGTTCCCACAACTGTACTGTATGCATGTGTGTAAACATAGTGTCTATTTTGGTCTTATTGTGTCCATTAGAGCTGAGATGATAAGTTAATTGATTTCTTAACCACCGACTAAGGCTACAGTAACACTGTACATACAATACAACAACAGGACATCTCTGCAGCAATATTTAAGTTAAAATGGTATTTTTACACACTCTTCAACTTAACAAATATTACGCCTCCTGTGATTTGAAAATTGCATTACCATATTGCGATTTTGATAAAATTTCAATTAATTGTTATATATATAGCCCTAATTGACTATTGACATTCTTTTTTAAATGTGGCCCATATTTGACTCCATTGTCAATTGGCTACAGTCTGAAAGTGACCCGCATGTGCAAAAGAATAATACATGTAGCACGCTGTTGTATATAAGTAAAAATGGAGGCCACAGAGGTTAGTGTCTCAAACACAGACCATTTACGATACAACACTTCAAGTTTAGCTTGTACAGAAGTGTCACCTCAAATACTTAAGAGGTCTGACACCTCACTGTCGCTCCACTGACTACCCCCATCGCTGCCGACCTCCACCGCGGTTCCTGCTAGCTCAGAATTGTGATGACAGTCGCTCTATAGTGACGTCAGACTTGCATGAATTCCGATCTGACTGTCCAGACTGAGGTCACATTTCAAAATATCCGACCTGTATCTGATTTGGACCACATATGAAAAAATCTTATGCATATTTGCATGCTAAAGTAGTGATTGAGTAACACTTTGACCTGATGATTACCAAAGTTATTCAAATTCATCCTGGGGAGGACATGAATGTGTGTAGCAGATTTCATGGCAACCTGTTAAATATTTGTCATGACATTTCACTAAAAGCTAAAAATGTCTACCTCCTGGTGGTGCTAGGAAAAATGTCAAGGGATCACCAAAGTCAGTAGTATTAATACTCTGGGCATCATGGATGTTTGTACGAACTGCCATGGCAATACACCCAGTAGTTGTTGAGGTATTTTAGTCTGGACCAAAGCAGTGGACCAACTGATTGACATTACTCTACCTCACTACCTTGCAGAGAAGTGTAAATAATATAACTGACTGCAGCTTTTCAAATGTGAATATTTGCTGTTTTTTCCCATCTGCTGTGACCGTAAACTGAATATCATTCAGAAAAAACAAGCTGAGGGAATATTTTAAATATAGAAAACTGTGTTATTTAGTATTTGTTCACTATCCTCTGACATTTTATAGACTAAAGAGACAAATGATTAACCAAGCAAGTAATCAACAGATGAATCAATAATAAAAAATAATTAAAGTTAAATAAATCAGCAGTGTCTGTGTGCATTTATGTGACAGGTAAAGTTTAAATCTCATTTCATTCTGACCTCATTTCTACTAATTATGCATCCACATGGAATTGGCATTTCACTCTGATTTCAACATGAGTCTTCTAATGTGCATAAAGGTTAGTCCCACACTGAGCCGTTTCCCCTCTCTATACAGGTGAGGAAACATTACATTCCACAGAGGCACAGTTATCTGCATATTATCAGTGTTTGTGATTGTATTCAATTGGTTGATTGATTTTATGGATTATTAGACACAGGAAAACAAAAATCCAAAGGATAACATGTTAAAGAGGTGGTATTATGCTCATTTTCAGGTTCAAAATCTTAATCAGGGGTTGTACCAGAACAGGTTTACATGACTTAATTTTCTAAAAACACCATATTTTTCTCATTCTGCACATTGCTGCAGCTCCTCTTTTCACCCTGTGTTGTACGCTCCGCTCTTGAGCTACAGAGTGATGCATCTTACTTACTTACGTACAAAATCTTTGTTGGGAGTTGCACATGCGCAGTTCCCAGGTAAGGACCACTAGCCAATCAGAAGCAGAGAAGGGAGGGTTGTAAGAAACGAGGTAGTGTGATCCAAATCAAAGCTGCTTCAGACTGCGACCGTAACCTAGCAGATGGTATAAGTTACTCTCAAGTCCACAACCACACAACGTCATTGTTCCACATCTTACCATTAGCACTAAACGTTGAACTGTTGCCGGTGTGCTGACGATCTATGCTGCCTTGCCTAAAAATGCTACCATAGCGCAAATCGATAGACTTGACTCTACTTGACCCTGCTACGTTTTCCATTGCAGATAGTACCCAGAGATAGTATGTAGCTTGTCATCATAGCGAGGCCACACACAACTGCCGCGACATAATGTTCAATGCGACACACAGACCAGTGATCCACACAGCTCTTAAAATATATACAGTCTCAATATTACTGAGAATGTAAACCCAGATAAGCGGTATGAAAACCTTCCAGCTGTGTTTTCCTCTTCCGTTGTTGCTGCACCGGTCTGTGTGACGGTGGGAGCAGAGGGCTCTGTGAGCGGGCAGCTGGCCGGCCTCACACGCTCCTCCCGCGGGTTGGCACAGGCTTCTCCCGCAGCCACTTTCAGAGCTCCTCAACTCCGAAAATATTCAAGCACATTTTTGTTCCGCCATCACTTCTCGTAAAACTGTCAATATTTGAAATCTACACAGCTGATTTCTCACCTCAAAACTTCTCATAAGTGGATTTAGTGATGAAATTCCATACAAAAACTGTAAAATATAAAACTTTCTGTTGCTGCCTCTGTCTGGTGCAGCAATGATGATGCAGTGAATAGTGAATATTCTCTCTGACCAATCAGCAGTCTGTCGTGTTTTCACGTTACATTTTAGTATCCCCTCAGCTCGCTTGGAACCTCCACAGAAGTGAGTTGATACAAAAAGAAGTACATGGAAGCAGGTACAAGTACAACATTTCTACAGTGGAAAACCAAACAAAGGCGAGTCGAGCCAAAGGGCCTCTGCTCAGACTAGCTTGGTTTGAGGGCGTGCCTGACCCCGCTAGCCGCTTGGCAAGCTTTATGACACATTTTCATTGTGACGTTACAAGTAAAGGAAGTGAAGGGCTGGACTACAAACGAGCTGTTTTCAAGCGGTTCAGAGCAGTGCTTTCTGTGGGAGATGGGAACTCTCACTTTCACTTTGCAAACCTTTTACATGCACAAAAAGATATATAACTCAGTAAAGGAGAGGGAAAAAAACAAAAAGCATAATACCACCTCTTTAAATTGAAAACACATATTTCCAATGTGGTCCCATGATGTTAGAAGACAAAGAAAACACAAAGATGCACCAGTCATTCATCATATAAAATAAACAACACAATCCTAAAATCCAAAAGCAGAGCACTATTTAAAAAAAATTAAATAAAAAAACAAGAACAGCTAAGTAACAGTGTCATTGCAAATGTCACTATAAATCTGTTCCATAAAAAAGTCCTAGCCTGACTTCTAAGCCCCTCTTGTGTTCAAAAATATGATGTGTAATTGTTCCACAATGTGGCACCAACGTAAAA